AGCTTGAGGTCCAGGCCCACGCCAGGACTTGTGTTCTAGGGCCGTGAGAGTGCTTGAGGTCCAGGACAAACTTGAGGGAGCTCGGGGTGCGCTGCGGGAGCTCGCTGTCCAGGCGCTCGAGACCCAGGCGCGCGCAGGTCCTAGGCAACGGTGGCACAGGCCCTGGGAGGCGGGAGGGGATTTCCGTGGCGCAGGTCCTGGGTGGTGGTGAAGCAAGCAATTGAGCGGCGCAGGTCCTGTGCGGCGGAGGAGCAAGCCCTAGGCGGCGGCGGACCAAGCAATTGCGGGGCGCAGGTCCTGAGCGGAGGCGGAGCAAGCCGTGGGCGACGATTCACCCTGGCGACGTGCGTGGGCGACGGGCGAAGTAAGAAGGAGACGGCGACCTATTTGTAACAGATCTGAAGGTATGAGGGTGTTTTTGCAAAATTGGCAGTACACTTACACGGGCGACATTCTTTTCATGTACAATCGACACAAGAAGTTGTTCGTCTCGTCGAAATGGATAATCGTTTCTAGGGTCATCTCCATCCATGATCATATGTAAATTCTAGAGCGCGAAAATTGTGATGCTGAAGAAAAAAATTGGGCATGGCCGGATCATCCGGGTTGGTAGCCGGATGTCCGGCTAGACAGTCGTGACAAGTTCGAGTTAGATTAAACTTTGATGGTATGGACGGCAATGCAAGTCCTTTTCATGTACGGGGAAATCCATTCGCCCTATATACAGAAAAGAAGTGAGGGCTAATAGAACACCAACAAACAATCGGAAAAACCCATCTACTTTTTAGTCTAGTTCTTAAATCTCTTCCATGTTCTTCTTTTTCTCTCTTTCGCCGTTCATTCTTCGTGTTGGAGAGCAACGAACCTCGAGGACCTAAGGGCGGTCGGACCGACCTAGTGCAGCCCATAGCCACCGGGCGTACAAACCGGGTCCCTCCCGTGCCTGTCGGATTTTGGATCTATAGAAGCGCCCGCCGGATTGCTTGTGTACCGCGCTTCCGGTTGGGTCTCCTTCAACGTGAGTTGCGTTGGGGTGCATCACCCCGACGTCAAGGGTACATGGTGACGTGTTTGTGTGCGAACCAATGTTCAAGAAATCGCTAACTGGTAGTTGCTCGAACGGTTTAGGAGTAGCGATTAACTGATGAATCGGCCTATTAACTGGATTAATCGGTTGACCATTAATCGGTAGAATGAATAGGAACCTCCCAATATATATATGTAATTTTTTATATATTATACCATACTATCATGCTTCCAGCTATGTAATATACCAAAACATGTTGTCATACACATGTAAAAATCATGGAGAGGAGGTAAAGTTATTAGAGCATCTCCAGCCGCGCTTCCAACAGGCCCTCCCCGGGCATTTTTTCCGTGCCGACGCCGAAAAAACGCCCTAGTCGTGCCTCCAGGACGCCGAATTCCGCCGGCTCAGCCCGTTTTTGCGCCCGGCGATCGCAATCCGAACCCGGTGCACCGGCGGGCGATCGGGGGCTCCGGCGCAAGGAAAAAGCGCACCTGGGGCCACATTGCTAG